GTTGAATGTTGGATCAGCTAGAGCTTGTAAAGTTACTGTTAAAGTATTATGGGGCAGAGGGTTGTGCTCAGACGGCCATTATACTCCATCAATGGACAATGGACACTGATCAACAGACAAGTAAATTGACTGAATCCAAAACTTATATATTCAGGAGCAAACATCCAGGATTTTTCACTGTCAGACAACAATCATCGTTGAAAACAACAGTTGAAAACTGTCAGAAAACTGTATTTTGTGACTGTTGTTGAGTCTCTCTTGTACAAGACTATAACTACATATGCAATATATAAGAATTTGGTTGTTCTGGATTACCACAAAGTTGGGTTTGTGTTGTTTTCTCCAGGTCTATGACTGGCATTCCACAGCAGCTTACACAGAGCCCATAGAAATACACAGTCCAGTGGCACACAACGTCCAAGCAAACATAGAATGTTCTGTGACGTAGCTCCACCCCTGAATTAGATTATAGAGCACCATCAATGGCCGTTTCACACAAATACATACAAAAATAGCAATAAGACATTTTGTCTTGTACAGCAAAAATGAAAACAACTAGAAACATTCAGAAAATCCTTCTATATGACATTTATTTTATATTGCACATGATTAAATATACATAGGGCATTATCCACCTATACAAGGTCAATATCACTAATATATTGACCTGCTGTTGATATAAATAAACATACTAACTACAATGTACAGCATAACATGAACAAAGTGAACTGTATTCACCACATCTATAAGTACCTTCTCAGCACCATGTCCATCAAAAAGTACCCTGACATACCTGTAAGGGATAATGGTATGTTCCAACATGTCCACCATGCATGTAAACACAAAGAGTTTGGTCATACAGTAAGTTGATCACCTTAGAAAAATCAATTTTCAATATTTTTAATGCCAGCCAAAAATAAAAGAAATCACTGCCACATGTGCAATTTTTTTGTGAGAGAAAAACAGTTTGCAGGGATACATTTACAGCTGAAATATGCTCTTTAGTCAGTTAACTTTATTCTGTTGCTGCCATTTCTGATTCAGCAGGGCTCTAGAAAAGCTGTCCACTGCACAACAAAATCACAACATTATTGACCTGTGTATCTGCTTTAACCTTTAACCTAGGGTGCACACTCAATATTTTTCTTTCATGAAATTCAAAGTTTAGTTTAGTTCAAACAGAGTAAGTCAAAACAGATTCTGTGAGAGAAATAAAATCATTAAAACAAAGTGGTTAAAGCGAAAGGGAGGAGTCACATGACATGGATGTTTGACTAGGCTCTAGATTAACGACAGTGTGACACCGTTGATATGGCAACCACCTAAGCCTAAACACAAATGTTTAGTGTCATGAGATCTTCATAAAAAATGTCAACAACGCACACAACATGTCCAACAGACACACAGACAGACTCCTGACATTTTCTATTCTGGTCTTCACATGTATACAACACCCTCCAGTCTCGACACACACACACAAAAACATAATAATTTGTTTACATCTTGCTGAATTATAAGACAGTGCAAGTCTACATATAATACAAGAATTGTTAACTTTCCAGCTACAGGAATTTTCAAGTTTGTCTTTTTTAACACCAGGCTGACAAGAACTGTACACATTAAAGTAATTACAAACAAGCTGGGTTTTGTTAATAAATAGTTAATGCAGCATGCACTATACAACTCCCAATTGAATTTTCTAAAAAGTTTAAAATCACCTCTCGCTATGTATATTGTTCATTCCATTCATATAATTATTATTATTATTTATTTTTAATATAATGTTCATTTCATTAAGATAATTATTATTATTAATTTTACTAATTTATAAAGCAGCTTTATGCATATTTCTCTGCAGTCAAAACAAATATTCTATCCCTACAACAAACAAACAAACAAATAAAGTATAAACGTTTTTTTTTTTTTGACCTCTCAATATACACTACAGAATTGACGCTTGTGACCCTTTTACAGGCCTATATAAGATGGAGTCATAAGTATGATATGCAAATGAGAAAAGGCTGTGCCTTGGTTCCAATTGGAGTATTTCTATTTTTAGAATCTAGGATGCAAATTACAGGTGTAAGGTTCAAAGCCTACTAAAAATGAAAATATTTTGATTTTATCAAAATGCTATCACATTGTATTCGGACCCAATACAAGATTGTTAATGTGAAAATGAAATGGGTAACTATACTTTTCAGGGGAATATCAGTTAAAAAATTTAATAATGGCGCTAATTTTGATAGCACGTTACCGTTTACAGAATACGTTACTTTTTCTTCATATCTAAAAACTGTGCTCTAGTAAAGTGCTAAAAACTTTTCAAAATCTATGTTTTAAAAAAAAGCTATATAAGTGAATAATGCTGTATTACTGTGTTCTATGAAAACTGTCTTCAAAATAATTTGCTCATTCGGTGAGAGAATGCTACTAATATTAATACGTCAAGAGGCTATGTTTTGAAGTAGGCTTTTTCACCTTACATGTCTGGCAGTCATTTTGAAATAACAATAGTTTGAACTGTTTTAAATGTTAAAGTACAAGGACATCACAGGAAAGGCTAATCTTATTGAGAAATCAAAATTTTCCATTTCAAGTAGGATTCGATTTTTGGTAAGTCACTAGATCCCAAACTTGTCAGAGAGGCAATGGTTTTTACCTTCTCATAACAATTGCACAGGTATTCCATTAAAGCGCTACAGTCGCCATGCAGACCAAGTTCAAATTTCATGTAAACAAACAATGTATTTTACACAGATTGCATCGCTTTGGATTCCATATCTAACATAACGCGGTTACGCAACAACTGTAGCACTTTAAAGCATCAACGATTTGAAATACCATGACCATAAACAGTTGTTACATCTCAACATAATATGCCTTAAAAACAAAGTGTAAATACAAGCAAACCTATGAGGGCGCTGTAACTAGCTACTCAAAAAAATATATATATCTTTAGGGGAGATTTAAATCAAACATTGATTTCATGCAACTATAAATCTACCAGAAAGTACATGTACTGGAAAGAGGGAAAAAAATGAAATATGAAAAACTGCACACCTGACATTGATCATAATAATTATCTCTTGAATGTCGTAACACATTTCCTCAACCCGATTTTGAAAATTTACTCAAGTTAAAAAAAAATCCTAACTACAAACTCTCCTGCTGAGGGCATGCATACTATCTGCAGTACAAAACAAATCAGTAATCACCAGAATATTCATTCATATTTATACACACAACAGTGAATTCTACTATAAAGAAAAGTACCTTATTTACATAAAAACAACTGAAGTACATATTTTTTGCATCTACCATAGAGGGCAGTCAACACTGGTTATCTGTCCACAAAAGTTAAAAGACTGGGTATCAAAAACTTGGAAGGGAGAGAGGACTGAGAATGTTTTCAAAAAAATCACAACAAATTTTACTCATTAAGCACAAATATTTTTTCAAAACTAAAACAAGCAGCTATATTTGTATGTAATAGTTTTTGACTCTCTGAGAGGCACATGGTACTAAATAAGTTAAACGGAAAAACAATCCATTTCAGGGTCAAAGGTCAGAACAATGCAACGTACTCTAAATCTAAAATCATGAAATCAATTAATATCAAGCTAAAAGCCCCCCCAAAAAACATGCCCTATTTTAACTTTAAAATACATGCATATAGAAAGAAATGTAATACATGCACTATCTAAAAAAAGATTAATCGTTTGCTAAGTGTTTAGTAGATTGCATCCAATATGTGTACGTCAACTGCACAAAACAATATAGTCGCCAAGACTTCAGAAATCATCATCGTCAATATGGGAACTGTCCAAGTTGTGAGTCACCGACGCCGTGGCTTCTTCCACCTGTAGCCGGTTCTTGATGGTTTGGTAGGTTTTGCTGTTCAGTATTTGTTCGGTGATTCCATGCAGCTCAAAATCAGAATACATTTTCTGGTTTAATAAAAAAAAAACATAATTATTTCAAATAACTTTAGAAAAATAATCTGTTTTTGTTTGGGAAAAATGTATTTTAGTGTGGAACTGTATACAACATCATGGATACTATATAATAATTAAAGCTATTTTTTTTTTTGATTGACTAATTGTTTTTGTTTTTTAGCCCTATTGTTGGTTTTTTAGCCCTACCTCTTTTTTTTTCTTAAAAGTAGCTTTAGCTATTATATAATGCACGTGATAATGTATAACACTAAATTTCAAAAGACCAGTAGATTTTCTGAAACAAAAATGGAATGTATTTTGTAATACGTGCATTTAAACATGCACAATTTGAACTGATATTCATAGGACAAAATGATCAAGTGGAAATCCCAGTCCAGATTCCCCTTGAAAGCTGACACTCAAATTCAAATTGCGTACTTTAAAACCACGTGATTTTACTATGTGTTATAAATGATTCACAGGTTCTATACTGAACAGTATGGGATGCGATTAATACACAGTTTTAACAAGACAGGGCGGTGATATGAACACCTACATGCTCCATGTTACTTTGTCTGCACAGACAAAAGAGGGTATAAAAACAAAAGTTTTGCACATCTATGCCAGAGAGGGCAATGAATGTAATAAAACCATTGATGCTCGTGTGCTTACCCTGAATAGCTTCAATATTGTGTTCAGTTGATGAATATGAAGTTGAAGGTCAAGTCTGTCAGATAACCAATCACACAATAAATTCATATTCTGTGTGTACCACTCCTGGCAAAGGTGATTCAAAGATAAATTGAAGTCAGGTCAGCGTTAAAAATAACATACATTTGATAGTTTATGTCTTTGACACTGACATTGAGAATTTGTTTGTACACTAGGAGATTATTCTATTATAACCAGTAATAAAGAACAAGGTCACTCAACAATTTTTGTTATGAATAATTTAATGTTGCTGAGATAGGAGGCAATAAAACTATACTCAAGCTAGTGGGGGATTGTACCTTCACTCATTTTCTCTCAAACCACAACATCCACCTACTTACATCATAGAGTGAAGAAACGAACTGTTCATCGTGGATTCTCTCCCGAATCTCATCCAAGTTGTTACGCTGAAAGACAATGAAGCTATCTGCTGTCTCCATACTTGGGCTCTGCGAAGAAAACCATGGCAATATGGCGGTAAACCTTACTAGATGTTGTAACACGCAACGCCCACCCATTGAAGGGGAGGGAAGATAAATATTTTATTTATGTTTTCCCAATTATTATACAGCCACTGTAGATTATTTGTTGTCTCTCCTGCTATGTAAACCCCCCCCTCCCTTTTCCTCATGCAAAAACCAAATTGCAAGATAACCCTGTACTTCCAAGTTTAAAAAAAATAATAATTGTGAATTCTAAATGTTAATATCGCTACACGTAAAGATGTGTATAAATGGTTGCCGAAAAGTCTGATGCAGTCACACTTGTTTTGAAGATTCCTAATTTCCACCCACTCATGAATGAAATAAAAAGTACACATTGTGTCTTAAAGTCGGCAAAATCATTGTATTGTTTGTTCTATTGTATTCGTAAGAAACGGTATTTGTTACTTACTGTGAACGAGAGGAAAGATGCAGTGAAAGTGCCTTCATCATATCGCGACAACTTATTAAATATCGAATGTAGAATAGACACAAGCTGAGGAGAAATGATGGGAGGAAAAAAATATAAACTGTTGAAGAAACCATTCAATCATGTCAATCAATCAGTGAATCAATCAGTGAAACAATCAATGCAGACTCGAACATTACCTTTCCAACCAGCTTTCTGATGACACTGGTATGTGCCGTTTTGATGACCTCATCAATTTTGGTATGGTACTGATGCTTAGCAAGAAAGCAAGAAAATAAAAAGTTACAAGATGAGGTAAGTACGAGAAGCAGTGAGAAAATACAAGTCAAATGAACACAAACAAACAAACAAGTCATAACGAAAGCTTGCTACTATACGCTACTAGTGAGTCAACTTTAAAGTTGCTCTGTGAGAGGATTCATAAAACTTTATAGGAGTCTTAGTCTAAACTAAGCATTGCGACGAGAAAACAAGGATTCAAATTCTCCTCATCACGAGTCTTTACACATTGTAAATCAAATCAGTCCCATCGATATTCCATGCATATTCACAGACATCTTCTACTCACCCCTTCCTGGTCCACAGACGGAGGACATAGCTTCATCGACTGTGTCTTGGCATCACTTATTATATTAACCATAACACATATTTCACCAGGCACTCTGTAGTCCACTGTGGCACGGCCTTTCTTTAAATAAATCTCAAAGGACTTCAATGTCCTAAGTGGAAATGGATATTGATTGATTATCAAAGGAAATAAAATGGGGGTATTTTATCAGATGCAAAGATTTCTTTGAACTAGAGGGTCAATCTATTTCAAATGCAGTAATTTATCTGAACTAAGGAGTTCAATTTCAGATGCACTTTTTCTCTGAACTAAGAAGTTCAATCAGAGATACTGTTGTCAACATGCAATTTAATTCAATCTGACATAACAGTGTGGATTTATTTCAGTAATGCTTTTTTTTTCTGAACTAGGGAGTCCATAAAACCTTAGATATACTAATTTATCTGAACTAAGGAGTTCAATTTCAGATGAACTGTTTTTTTTGTCAACGAGAAAGCTCAATAAAGGAAGCCGTATTTTTGCCTCATGCAATTTACTTAACTCTGACAGTTACAGTGTTTCCAAAAATTATTTCATGCTGCATCATTTACATATGACTTATTTCGACCATAGACACATAAGCGCATGTACTACTAATAGAACAAATATGGTAATATTATTTTGGTCGAATCCTCACCTACAAATACACGACTCAATCATGTCAGCTGCCATTAACTTCAACCGATGGTCTAGATGCTTAGCGAACACTTCTTCCGGCCAGTGGAGATCTCGGATAAAAGTCTGCAGTGCATCTAACTTCCAGAAAAGATCCTCAGAGGTTGCGGTGCCATTGCTGGATGGGAAAATAAAAGTTCAGGACTCATATGAAATATATAACATAAAAAAAAATAATTAAAAAAAAATTCTATGAAAACACCATTTTGTGAGTATTTGATTTGAATTTGCTCAAATTTACTCACCCTTTCGGCTCCCATTTCTCCTTCTCAAAGCCTCGGTGAATCGACTGTGCAACAGATGACTCCATCAAATCAACGTATCGAATAACATGCGGTGCAAACACCTCTCGTAGATGGTTGTGAAAACGACCACTATTCAGACTCGCTGTGTAAGTATTGAACATAACAATCATTATATTGGATAGAGATGTCAAATAAAAACATTATTCTATTCTCAGTATTCTCAAGTTTTGAAACTCAGTTTTTGCAATAATATGTTTTTTTTTCACTGCCTAGCTGCACAGAAGTGAAAATTCTTAATTGGTATCAACCAATGAGTTAAATTCATAATACAAACTGAAAAATAAGTACACGCTAAAAAAAACAACACTTACTGTCATTTCGAAGATAATCATTAAGCAACTGGAAAAGCGGGAAGCTATCCCACGTATCCGGAGGTTGCATCTCCAGCACTGCGTCCATGTCAACGGCAAACAAGGACCAGAAAATCTCGGAATGCTCCACCAATAAATCACTAAACCATGCAAATGCCTAAAGGAAGAAAAAAAAATTTGATCAATAATTGATTATATATAATCTTTCCTTTGTATTTGAATAATATTTTGAAATTCGTGCCGGCATGCAAGGTTACCAGAATGTTTTCATTCATTCATTCACTAATATTAGAATTGAATGCCATTATCATGTTTAGTGTTTTACTTTATGTAAATTTTTATAAAATAATTTTGCAAATGGACATTATGAATTATCAAGGTTTATTTCGAAAAAAGATGACAAATTATGGGACAAATAACTATAGGAAATCACTTAATTTTTGCTGAGGTCATTCATGAAGATGAATTTTTGCAAAATTCACTGACACAATATAACAGTAAACTGTATCTACTAGTATTTATCTCCTTAATGAACAACAGCCCCCCCCCCCACACATTTCTCACCATTTAAAAATTTCGGTCATAACAGATTATTTTTAAACAGATCGAATATTGAAAATGTGAGCAGTTTTTCAATGAAAACTAATTTTTGTCTTTAATCAGATCATCTCTCAACTGCTAAGAAAGATTAAAATTAAAAGTCACTAATAATCATGAATTGACTGTCATGAAAAAATCATATAAATGAATATAGATAGACATCTGGTAGCCTTGCACTGGTTCACAACAAGTTGAATTAGTTGTTAGAATGTCACACACTATGGGTAAATAGAAGTCGCACTACAACAAAATTTATTTATTAGATTAACTAAAAGCATTTAAAAGCCCTTCCATTGAACTAATTTATTTTTTGTCACAAATAATGAGTATTTTCAGTCAATGGTGACTGGCAAGGTACAGGGTTTCACATGCTGTAATGCAAGGGCTTCATCACCATTGACAACCATCTGAAAGACAAGATGGCTGTCATCTGCGGTGAGAAAAAATGGGAACTGAGGGATTTTATTAGAGTTGGACCTACAAGATTAACTACTGTTAGTCAGTACAGATAACTATATAAGTTGTGTTTAATTCTACAAAGGTATTTTTTTTTTTTTTTACAAAAATTCAAAACCCTTTCAATACTCTGCCTTTGTTGCCTCCTGTTAACACGGCAGCATGCAGGGTTGGGGAAAAAAAAGAGAAAAAAAACAAACATGCAGAATGATTTCAAGTTCAAAACACAATAATGGCGTGCACCGCACCATTTTAAAGATGGGAATGATGATTTAAAAAGTGACATGCAAGTTGCTATAGAAACCATGTTTATCATTAAACCACCATGAAAGTAGTTTCCCCAGGTATGAGATGCTGATTTGAAAAAAAAAGCCAGATTTGCAAGATGATGATAACCAGCAAAAACCTGGGGTACGGGTACCTGAGACTCATGTTCATCATGGCGCTGCATAAAAAATTAGGGACAAACATGTAGAAGAAGTAAAAAAAAAAAAAAAAAATGGTGGAAAGAAGAAAAAAAACAAGATAGATGAATGAGCTAGGGTATCCAGACTCCCTAAGTTAAATTTGATCAATATGGCTGGCTGTTTGGATTAAACAAACAACTATCAATCAAAATGATCTTAGGGGTCTGGATACCACATGTAGAAAAAGAACCAATCAAAAGTACTGAAGAATGGTGTGAAAATTTGTGCACTCTTACGCCTCATAAATGTTGAAATGGTTAATTTCAGCTCAGTTAGCCTTTTTTTTTTTTTTTTGGAATATGCTCTAATATTTTCTGCCACTCTTCAGGCTATTGACATAAGTGGCTAAATTTGCATATTTCCAGTGTGTTATGATTATGCAAAACATTTAGCCAATCACAAAGATTGTAACAACTAGTATGAACCAATCAACAATGCAGTTAGTTGAAATCATTTACATACTGTTAGTACTATCAAATTTGCATATCCAATCAACTGAAATCATACCACTATCCAATCAACAAAGAATGACGCGAGCGTAAAAGTTAGTAACACAAAGTGAGACAGAAGAAAATAGAAAAACATGCATGGAAGAAAAAAAAGTGAAATACGATGTGAAGTACATTGTATGTTGATAAACATGAGGTATGGGAGCAAGGCGTGCAATGACAATAAAAATACCGGTACATCTAATTTTTATAAAAAAAAATGTAATATTTGTAATATAATATACAAGTTTTGAGCAGAGTAAAGAAAAGTCAGTGATGGAAATAAGACATGTTTAAAGTGCCACTTTTCAGTCAGAATATATTTTCATGATGTAGTCCGCGAGACACAGTGAGCAATAAACAGCACTGCTCAATAAAAAAATGAAGAAAAACACGGAAAAGATTTAAAATTGATTCAAATGCACGCCAATATCGGAATATGTAGAGAAGTAAGGGGTAAGCTTAGTTACTTAAATCAGTGTTCTATTTATCACTTTTAATCTCATATTATTGCTATTATTACGCCAACTGGTCATAATTTTTAGTCTCATTGTATGCGACTGTGTTAGAGATAATCATGAAAGTGAGCTAGTTGAAATTTAAGTCACACTGCCAGTTCCAGAATAGTGCATGGTGTATGATGTATGTTTCAGCACTTTTAGTTATGTCATCATTATGACAACAAAGAACCTACTTGGCCAATTTTCTGGAGCTGAAAATACCGAGAAACGTCACTACAAATCATCAAAGCACTATTTTGAAAATGTCATGATACCCCGCGAGTTAGTATAAATACGACACACGCACCCTTTATAGCGTTGTAAGTGGACTGTGAGTTGTTAGGATTAGGAATTGTGGGTAGATGACAAAGGATGGCATAAGCAAACAATACACACACAAACAACATAAATCTTAAACGCTGACTTGAAAGAAGTCAGCTTGGAATATGATTATAAGCAAAAAAAAATAAATAATAAAACAAACAAACAAACAAACAAAGACTTATTACTTGTAGCCTTCAAGCAGTGTGGTTTTCATTGGTTATAACAGAGTCAGGGTAATTGTCTCCCCTCCACAAGTAAAAACCTTTCAATCATTTTTTGCTATTGGTTTTAACTGTTCAGAAATATGTGTGTGAACAGTAAAAAAATTACAACTGCACTGAAGACGACTTGTACTCAGTTTGTGTAGAAGAAATAAGGTAAAGGAAGACCACAAAGTCTGAAAGACATTCTCAGCTATAATTTTCATTAAATATGAAAAATTTATCGTCAATTATTGGCAAAAAATTTATTAAAACATTAAAATGAATTCCACGGCAAATGTACATTCGGGGGAGGGGAGACAATTGTTGAAGCTGACTCTGTGGGTATGATATGTGCTTGCATGGCTGTTTTATATAATATCTACACCACAGTGGGAGAAAATTGCTGAAAGTTTTAATAACTGAGCATGTTCCAGCCACCCTGGAGGGGTATGTGTTAGACGATAAATGACTGAACAGCCGCGTATGTTAATTAACCCATGGGAGTGAGGTTTACAGGATGCACACGGAGCAGAGGTGAAGGAGCGGCGAACGCAACAACACACAAAAAAAGCGACAGCACAAAAATGAAAGATTTAACACAGAATAGGAGACCATGAAAGAACGGATATCTTACTTTAGACTTTTTGTAAAGCTGAAAAGAAGAGGATGGTTGAAACGGTATAAACATGCATTCCAATTTGAATTATTACGAATTATTGCGTTTATTTGGTGCAAAAGAAACCGTAAAAAAAGGAATTAAGACCAGAACATGATGAGTGCCAGAGTACAGCAGATCGTAGCACTACTATTAGCACATGCATCGTTGCATAGTTTGGGCTGCATAGTCTGATTTGTTAAACTGATGTAGGGATTCTTTCCACTGATTGTGAAAAATACCTCTTTTGTTAGTTCAGCGGTTTACAGTTTAAAAACGCAAACACCTACTTTTATATGAAAAGTATCCTGAAACAACCACCCTATATCTATATGGAGGATGATCATCATGAAACTGCCACCTTAAATTTATTTGGTTGGGATCATGAAACTGCCACCCTGTACATCTATAAGAAGGGAATCATGAAACTGCCACTTTAAATTTGTATGGAGGGAATTGTGAAGCTGCTACCCAGCATCTATGTGGAGGGGGATCATGAACCTACCACCCTAAATCTATGAGGAAGATGATCATGAAACTGTCACCTTAAAATTTATATGGTTGGGATCATAAAACTGCCATCCTATACATCTATAAGAAGGAAATCATGAAACTGCCACCTTAAATTTGTATGGAGGGAATCGTGAAACTGCTATCCAACATCTATATGGAGGGGGATCATGAAACTGTCACCTTAAATTTATATGGAGGGAATCGTGAAACTGCTATCCAACATCTATATGGAGGGGGATCATGAAACTGTCACCTTAAAATTTATATGGTTGGAATCATAAAACTGCCACCCTATACATCTATAAAAAGGGAATCATGAAACTGTCACCTTAAATTTATATGGAGGGAATCGTGAAACTGCTATCCAACATCTATATGGAGGGGGATCATGAAACTGTCACCTTAAAATTTATATGGTTGGGTCATGAAACTGCCACACTATACATCTATAAGGAGGGAATCTTGAAAATGTCACCTTAAATTTGTATGAAGGGAATCATGAAACTGCTACCCAACATCTATATGGAGAGGGATCTTGAAACTGTTCATGAATTTGATATGAAAGAAAATATGAAAATACAAGCCTAATTCTATCTGGAGAGAGTCCATGATACCACCACCCTACATTTAAGAGGGCCATGAAACTACCACCCTAAATGAAGGGGTCCATGAAACTACCACTCTAAATGAAGGGGGTCCATGAAACTACCACCCTAAATGAAGGGGGGTCCATGAAACTAACACTCTACATCTATATGGAAGAACGTAAAACCGACACATTAATTTACATTGAGGGTAACATGAAACTTGTTCAATGTCAAATAAAATTTTTAAATGTTTTTTTTTTTTTTTTTTTCGTAGGATTCATTTTAATAATAGTATCTGACTGTTTCATCTCAGGTCACATAGTAAAGGGTTGACATATGAGGAAATTTTGCCATTTTTCACTTTTCATTTTTCTTTATTTTCATTACTGGTAAAAACTCATAATAATGAAAACATGAAGTAGATGACATAATTCTAAATTCTGCTAAAACCTCCTAAACTCAAATCACAAAAGGTAACTTAGCAATTTACTGAAAATCGTCATGGAAACACAGTTCCGTAACACTGAAAATATATTACTGTTTGTTTACGGCAAATGATAATCCATTTGATATTTGTTTCGTGACGCCGCCAACAAAATTTACTTACTCTGACAAATTCAATCGCTAGTCGTGAAGTTCAATTTCACGATATTACGAGAGATGGAAAGAAACGCTACATCAATTTAATTTCAAAACAGATTTGCATCTAGGGTTTTTATGAGGAGAGAAAGAAGACAGAGTGAGACTGGTAAAACAAGAAATAATAAAATAAAATAAGTTCAAAATACTGAAAGACAACAGTAAAAAAAAATACAGTCAAAGACTAAACACTACAATGCATACAGTAAAGGGTGAACAAGGAAGTTGTACAAGAATTGAAAAGCGTTATTTTCAAAAGCCAATGTTCACTGAATTGAAAATGCTTTCCGAAAGCTAATTCTCACACTTCATGTGCTTTCCGTAAGCCAATTCTTGCTGAACAGAAAATAATTTCTAAAAGCAAATGCTGTCATGACAACATTTCTGTAGTTCTCTAAACACAAATAGCTTTTTGAGAGCAGAGCATCCTCAATCAAAAATATTTGTTGTAAGCCAAAGTTTAATAAATAAATGTCACCCAAAGTTCAGTAATAGAAATAGCTTTCTTAAACCAAAACACTTTCAAAAAATAAAAAATTTTATTGAAAAAAGAAGCAAAGTTGAAAAACTAAAATAAGGTTTCAATTGAATGTTCTCTCTAAATAGAATAGTTTTCTGAAGTCCAAAGTCCACTGAATAGAAAGTACTCTCCAAAATCAAATTATCTACGTGTGTACAGAAGGAAATATTTTTAGAAGAGAAGCTTTCTGAAAACCAAAATCCAGAAAAGAGAATAAGCTTTCCAAAAGCCCAAAATGACAAAATGGAATACGATTTCTGAAAACCGAAGTAGGCAAAATAAAATAGAATTTCTGAAAGCCAAAGTTGATAAAATAAAATAAGATTTTTGAAAGCCAAAGTTAGCAAAATAGAATAGGCTTTCTGAAAACCGAAGTTGACAAAAGAAAAGAAAATTTCCAAAAGCCAAAATTGACAATAGAATATTAAGCTTTCTGAAATCCAAAATCCACAAAATGGAATAAGCTTTCTGAAAACCAAAGTAGGCAAAATAAAATAGAATTTCTGAAAGCCAAAGTTGACAAAATAGAATAAGATTTTTGAAAGCCAAAGTTAGCAAAGTAAAATAAGAATTCTGAAAGCCAAAGTTGGCAAAGTAGAATAAGATTTCTGAAAGCCAAAGTTGGCAAAGTAGAATAAGATTTCTGAAAGCCAAAGTTGGCAAAGTAGAATGAGATTTCTGAAAGCCAAAGTTAGCAAAGTAGAATGAGATTTCTGAAAGCCAAAGTTAGCAAACTAGAATAAGATTTCTGAAAGCCAAAGTTGGCAAAGTAGAATAAGATTTCTGAAAGCCAAAGTTGGCAAAGTAGAATGAGATTTCTGAAAGCCAAAGTTAGCAAAGTAGAATGAGATTTCTGAAAGCCAAAGTTAGCAAACTAGAATAAGATTTCTGAAAGCCAAATTTGGCAAAGTAGAATAAGATTTCTGAAAGCCAAAGTTGGCAAAGTAGAATAAGATTTCTGAAAGCCAAAGTTGGCAAAGTAGAATAAGATTTCTGAAAGCCAAAGTTGGCAAAGTAGAATAAGATTTCTGAAAGCCAAAGTTGGCAAAGTAGAATAAGATTTCTGAAAGCCAAAGTTGACAAAGTAAAATAAGATTTCTAAAAGCTGAAGTAGACTAACCTCGGCATGATGCTCCTCATTCTGTTGCAGTACATCAATGCAGAGTTCAGCTAGGTGCATAAGTTCTTCCAGCTTTCTCTGAGGCGTCATGTGTTCTGCTTGCAACATATCTACACAAATTCACAACAGAATCTGTTTTGTCACAGCTTTTTTTTTTAGCTCATTCAATTACCCATATGAGCAAATATTAAATAAAGGTTGTGTCTTGCAGGTTGAGAGAAATTCTGCTGGAGTTCTCTCGTTTTACAAAATCAAAATCAAGCAACAGATGGTATATTGTATAGGTGATTTGAAATAAATGCACAAGCCCACATCAAGGAACAAAAAAGCATTCATCAAAAGTGTGCATATTAATTAACTTAATCATTTCACATATACAGTAACAACAACAATCATGCAAAATGCAAACATGTTTATGTGTTGAACAAACAAAATTCAATTATGACATGTTGTATTGAAAATGTTGAAAAAAGAAGCGTACATATATTAACTAATGAATTGTCGATGTGACACAGTGTGTAACATTTGAACTCTCCCCAACGTGAAAACATTCCACCAAACAGTCACACATTAGGCCATCATGCATGTCAATTCAAAAAAGTTGACCCACAACTCTTTTATTTGTGAGTTTTGTTGAAATATTGTAAAAAAAATAAATAAAAAAAGGGAAAGGGATTTCTGTTGTGTAACCTACCTGTTTAAAGATTTTGGTGAACGTTCAATGCTACAAAATGATGTGACCCCCTTTCTGAATTGATGAAATCCAAAAATGTTTCTCTCACTAAATTAAAAAAGCTTTACAATATTGCTATACATATAAATGAAAGATCCCAGAATGATGGTTAATTTGATTAACTACTAAACTCAATAAACAAACACGATTCTGGAACACATGAGGGCAAACTTTTGACATTAAAGACTCATCACACTTAAAGGGTGGTGGTTGTCTCGCCGCGTTCTGTTTGATATGGGACTCATAGCGACGTATATAACACGTATGAAAAATATTGTTTATTTACATGAAATTCGAACACGCGCTGCGCAACGACCACCGCGCTTTAAGAAATATTCCAAGTGGTACAACACACACACACACACACACACACACACACACACACACACACACACACAGACAGACAGACAGACAGACAGATGCACGCACACACACACGCATAGACAGACGCACGCACAAACAGACAGACAGACCAACCATAAACAGGTGAGTGGGTACTAAAATTCTACATGCTAGAAATGAAAATAAATACAAAAAAACGAAAGTTATCACCTTGCTTGGCTTCCTGTGCACTCGCTAGAGATTGGCAGGCATGATATGAAGGGAAAAAGGACAAAATGGAGAAATGAAGAAACAGTGAAAAATGAGGAACAATATGAGAGTAGATCAGCATGTATGAAGGAATGCAGACGAATAAGAAAACTTGATTAGTTGTGAGATATTGAATACATTAAACAGAATTAGGATGAATTAAAAGTAAACCTCACTACTTACTACCCGCACACCACTGATGAACTGTTGTGCTATGATCAAAGTTCGTTTTCAGGCAAAGCTATTTTCTTTTGCATACGAATGTAATGGAAAGTATCAAATAAGACAACATGAACCAATCTACAGCAACATTTAACTGCGTTTACGTAAAAATACATGAATTATTTACTGAATTAATTACTCAATTCTTTATTTGGAAAGTCTGTCTATATATGGTAATATAAGTTATTTGTCAATACCTTGTTTGGGCATCCATAATCATACAAATTATTCATCAATACCTTAATTGGGCATTTTTGTCCACATATGGTCATAAAAGTTATTCACTGATACCTTATTTAGGCATTTCATCGATATATAGTAATATAAATTATTTACAAATATCTTATTTGGGCATTTTGTCTATATTCATATTTGCTTTATTTGTAGTACATCTCCAATAGAAGTCACACACAAATAAAAAAAACTTGTACTTAGTGTATGCTTAATCATTTTTTACATAAGTGTCTATTTTATTAGAGCAATTAAGAAAAATGTTAAAATAAATTATTGGTTGATTAGTTGTGGTAATAATTGGTAATGCCAGATCGAGGAAAAAAATGCGAGCACTAGAGATGCAAGAAGTGAAAGTGGTCAATTAATGTTAATTAATTAATTACACACAAGTGTGCAGCTGTAAATGGCAAACTAATTAATTTTCATATGTCATATATTGAATTACAATAGCTCAGCGTAAATTTCTCAACACTACTTAAATTTGTAAAACCAATTTCTTGAATTATTAAACCAAAGCAGAATTCAGCACTGCAGATGGAGTTTGTTGCATTTAGAAGAATTTAACATGTTCAGCGTCTGTTGTTTAAAATTAATAGAAAGCATTTTAAATCAAAATGGACCTGTTCTTTAGTCTTTATTTTCTAGAGGTTTTTATTTTTCACTGAGTTTTTAGTGATTTTGCTAACACAGGCTGAAATGAGATAATATGCAAATTACCTACTTAATATGCATAAACATGGTTCTAAAACTAATCATACTTGCACATTACCACCAAGGTATTAAATTTGATCAAAATCTGCAAAGAAGTTTTTGATATTTTGCTGTTAAAGTTCACTTCTCACCTTCAATCTTCGAGTACGACGAGACTCTTTCGTAGTTGACCAGGGATGCATTCTGGAGGCACTTTCGAATGGTATTAAACACTTCATCATGAGGTGCTGGGGTGACAATGTCCTTCATCAAAACCTTCAGAGATGAAAAAATTAACTGAACTGTTTATAATAATCATTAAAAATTGACAAATTTCAATAGTGGAAGAAATGACTAGTGGGTTGAGTTACTTTCAAGAAATATAAGTTGCTTTTAAAATGAAAATGAAGCGCTTACAGTCGTCATTTTATGTCGTGTTCGATATTCAATTCACAATGACGTATGCAACACGTGTAAAATATAAGTGCAAAAAAGATTTTTATACAAAATAGGAACAATGACTGAAGCACTTTTAAGTAATGAACAAATCTGATAGGACAAATTTTATTTTGCGTTTATCATGTTTTTTAATTTGGCTATGGTGTTTGAAATGCTGCCAGCTAAATATGTATGAAAAAACATGGTAATGCGACAACAACTGCTTACTGAAGAAGCCTAGCAACGATTGTAACATATTTTTTGCATTGTTTCATCTTGTCAGTGTTGCTGACCAAACAACATGAAACATTCTGACTTTTACTGCTTCAAACAATTGAGTAATTTTATTGAGTAATTGGTTGGCACTTGTATGAAATACAAAGTGAGGTGGTGACAACGCATGGTGCTTTTGACATACAACTTTCATTCAATTTTTCAATGTTTTTTTGAGAATTGTATTAAATTCATCAATGACATTTTTGTCTCTGACAAATAATAACTCACGGTATAGTTCACATATAGAATGGAAAACTCACCCTTTCTAAAAGTGATAATGTTGCCTTGAGGGCGCCCTCTGGTCTGCCAAACGGGAAGCAATACCTGATATGAGAAAGGAAGAAATGCCATGAAGCGTACAAGATTGTCGTGAATGAAATGACAGTGCAAGGTGTGACCAATACAGTCACTGAACACCTCTGTATTATCGTTCAGACAGATTATAATCACCTTTGCTCTTTGAACTCTAAGGTCAACTTTTGAAACAGGAAACTGTTTAGATTATTTAGGAATAATTGCGTTTAAGTTTAAGTGTGCTACTGTAATGAAACCTTTCACATGCTGAATGCCAAGTCAATTTTCGCATTAGTTTTTCATAATTAGATTAACTGTTTGAACATTAAAATCTTTCCCATGACAATTTTGAATTCACATTTTATGTTTGTGTGTATTTTTCTAAAATGTCTTTGTTACAAATCTCGCTCTTAATTTTTGAAAAAAAAATTAGGTTTATTTTTGAATTCGGTGCTGAAAGGGTTAAGACAAAACAATTCCATCTATTAGGTCAAAAATTTAACACAAAAATGATAAAAAAAAATTAAAATGTGTAAAATGTCCCTCTCAAAATTTGGAGAGAAAAAATTAAGTATCAGAGCTCTTTGTGAGATGAGATTTGAGACAATGTTCAAGGAAAACAATGACAAATTGCTCTTAGAGAATTAAAATCAACTTTGGTTGGTATGTTGGTTTTCTGTTGTAATATAAACTACATTGGTCATCTCTCTGTAAGTAATGTATTTTCGGCATGTGAGAAAATGTCAAAGAGAGGATTTCACTCGCATATAGAGATTATCCAGTACCTGAAATTTGTGATTTGGTATTCTAGCAGACAACGTAATCTGTCTTTAATCTCTTCAAATCTCTCTCTCTCTTCCTGCGACACAGTTCCAATGCCATCCGGCCTAGAAAAGATAAAAATGAAACGATGACGGGAATATTAACTTTTTCATCAGCAGACATTATTGCCCAAATTTTTCTTCACTTTTTTCTTATAGTCTTCAATATTTCTGGAAGTGAACGCTAATTTTGAAGCCAACTAACTCTATTTTAGTTAATTTTTTGTTTTCATTCAAAAAATTTGGCAAATTTTGTCACAATCCTCTGACGGAAAATGCAGACTACATACCAGACTATTTTGTCAATGAATTTGTTATGAAAAGGTTAAACTCCTAGCTCTGTTGACTGTCTTTTCCCAAACAAGCAGAACATAAAATAGTAGTAAACAAGTCATTGAAAATGACACAGTCCCTGTTAAATTTTGGAAAGTTCTCTTTGTGCTCGTCATATTAAAGCGAAGGGGTTGTCGCGAGCATGTCCTTGAAACTTGAGTTCCAAGTGGCGTATACAACAGATTGTTTATTTACATCAAAACACGTGTTCCGTGTAGTAGTAATATAGCCAAAAATAAAAACAGCCGTTATTCGGCCATCTTTGATCTGATTATGAAATACACTGATATGTATGATGTATGTGCCAAATACGAATGAAATTGGTACATAAATTGTGGAAATATAGTAGTAAGGCCAAAAAATCAGATGGCTGTCAATCGGCCATCCTGGACCAGATATTGAAACAAATTGTCATGGACATGCATCCTAACATGTATAAAGTAGATGTATGTGCCAAATTTGAATGAAAACTGACAGAGCACGTCCAAGATACCGCATAAAAAAACAAAAACAAGATGCCTGCCAGTCGACCATCTTTGAACCAATTGCGAAATAAATCGTCATGGACATGTATCCTAACATGTATAATCTATGTACCAAGTTTGAATGAAAACTGACAAAGCATGTTCAAAATACAACATTTTCAAAAAACAAGATGGCTGCCAGTCGGCCATTTTGAATCGAATCGCTAAACCACTGTATGTGCATAAGGTACAAGGCACATGCAAAGAATGAATGAAATCGGTCCACAGGATTCTGAAATATGACTCTGGGCAGATTGACGCAGGGACGGATGGACAAACACAGGAACTCACATACGGTTGGAGACATGTATCCTAACATGTATGATCTATGTACTAAATTTGAATGAAAACTGACAAAGCATGTCCAAAATACAACATTTTCAAAAAAACAAGATGGCTGCCAGTCGGCCATTTTGAATTGAATCGCTAAACCACTGCATGTGCATATGTCCCACATAAAGTACTAGGCACATGCAAAGAATGAACGGAATCGGTCCAAGGGATTCCGAGGTATGACTCCGAACGGACGCACGAACGCACAGACAGACGGAGACCGAATTATAAGTCCCCGTTTTCGGACTTCGTCCGAACGGGGACTAACAATGAAAACACTTAATATGTAAATGAACTCATAGAATATGCAGTTATTTGTTATAAATGAGTGACTGCATGCACAGCACATGAAATTCATCGTTTCCGAACATGCACTGCACAAGGACTGTTAATCTCTAAACAAATCTACAAGAGGAATGAGAAGAATGAGGGGTGCAGACTCACCTGTTTCCATGGATATGGGAGGCACAGAAGGCAAAGCTATAGTGTATAAGTGTAGGATCAATCATGGTGCCCGACTCCGCACGGTCCAGGAGATCACCCAGGTAGCAGAGATGCCGATGACAGCCGCGCACCCCATAGCGAGCACAGTACTCATCAAGGACGAATACCTGACCTGGACTAAACCATCCCTATGAAATAGACACACACAATAACATGAAAGTAACATATGAATCAGTCTGTAGCTCAGCGACCAGGATTAAAGCTTATAAACAGAAACAACTAAATCAGTACACATATTCAGTTATCAGAATAGTTGAATAGAATAAAAGGTTATAATTACTATTAAGCAGCATGTAACAACACTGACACCTAAACTGTTTGAACTGTCAAAACGAGTTTGTGTAGTCAGTGTTCTTTCTGTATGTCACACCCAATGTTTTATTTTGTCTGCCACTATGGCCACAAATATAAATGCATGGCAACATCGTGTCATGAAACCTAACAATTCAGTAACATCTCAATATGAATGCTAACTGTCTTATAGTTTCAGAGAAGAATTAAATGTTCATTGAATCAGTATATGCTGGTTGTTCGATACAAAGTACACTATATTTTTAAAATTATTCATAGTGGGAGTGTAAAAGGTAAATTTATAGCTCACACTAATATTTTATAAATTATTATTAAATAAATTATCATTATTCCACAAAGACATTGACCTACCAGACATGAGTACGAGTCATTCAACCTGTGATCTAAGGTCAATTTCTGTAAGAGTTCAAAGATACTAGAGTGGACAAATTTACATGGATCGGCAGCGATGAACTCATCCATGCCGTGCTTCCGCGCTCTGTCAGCATCTAAAACAAGCGGAAAACTTATTATTAAAGTGGTATTATTAACTTAAGATGAACCATGAATTGGAATCAGCAGATAGGGCGATTGTGAGTTACATGTGTTGGAATCTGATTTATTTTTTATCTGGAACACCTAAAATCTCCCAACTTACTACTCATCAAATTTTGATTAATTAAGTAGGCCACATTGAAGAAACGTCCATGAACTTGTTGACACACTAAAATGCTGAATCTACATAATTGCTCAGCAATTTTCGGTTGTTCGCTAATAATTTCTGACTCGAATCTTGCGAATTGGTGCATTTGGTATACGGCACATACTGCTCTATACATCAAATGCTACAAACAAAATATATTCGATAATACAACTTTAAAGAGTATTATCTGGCATCTTGCAAGTTCACAATGTCACTGTCATGTGAAAATAATAGGTGCAAACTTCACAAAAATATTTACGCTGGCGCCATTGACATTTTCATAAGTCAGGCACCCTCACAGTTTAGGCTAGCTTTATTATAAGAGTCGCATGTCTGAATATCTTCTTGATGTCATCTTAATCTAAATTTACATCTGAATTGAACTCCATTTAGATAAAAAAAATGTAACAATTAAGAATATAAAATGAGAACAGTTACCTCCTTGTAACCTAGATATAATGGTATTACTTTTCGTTGCCGTGGTAGTCTGTGTAGTCGGCGGCACTGGTTTATGTGACTGACCAGTTGCTCTGTACAGTGCCTGTACCCACAACTGCCTCTCGACTTCCTCATCTGTTGCAAATACTATACTATCACCCTCCCGCACTGCATTGAAGAAATGTTTTCCTCCTTCGAGGTCTAAAGTATGACAAGAGCATTTTAATTGTTATTATTAACACAGAAGTGAAAATTATTCACTGTTCAATTGACCATGAGCAGGTGAAAAAAGATCAAATTCATTTGAAATTGGAAAAGTCAAAGATATTGACACTCTCTGTTAATTAACATCTGCTTTTAAAGTTTTACTTTCTTCGAATAATTGATTTTATATGCTAAGTTACAGTATTAACACATCAGGCGGTCATTCTAGACTTAAAGCAACATGTTATAAAGTGTATACTTTCACCAAGTGTCAATGAAGTCAGACATGATTCTGAACGAAGAGTTACCAGAGTAATCAAATCCATGCAAAAATGATGTGCACTATGTTTTATCACTATCATGTTTAATTTAAATGAAATTAAGGTACATGCGGAATGAGAACAATTAAATAATATTTATTCTTTATTCATCTGTTGTTCCAGTCACTGCAGACCAATAGTTTTCCCATATGTCGTATATGAGTGGTTTGAGCCATATTATGCCACAGAGGCTGATAACACAAAAAGTTGCAAAAAATGTTAACGACGACGACAACGACAACAATAACAGACACCTGCTCATCTCTACCGAAACTCTCCATTATCATTCGAAGCATACACATCAAGTATAATATTAGATAATTGTATTCGTACCTATGACTGGATCTGTGTAATCCACCGTGTATCCATCAATTTGCATCATTTCATGTGGATCGGCTTTCTTCTCTCGGTAGCTACACATGGCAAACGTGTACTGACTTACCTACGAAGAAGACAAGCAGTTAAATGGAAGCCATATCGACTATTACTGCAGTAAATGCCACCATCCACCAAGAAATATACATGAACATGAATGAATGTGTCAGGGACATCATAGAAAAGCAATGCAGATACATTCAATGCTTAGAAGAATTTGTTATATTCATATTGAAACGTTTTCATCAAGGAAATATAGATCCAAGTTGAGGATACCTTACGATTCGTAATGAAATCAAACTTTACATGATTCTCTTTATAATATTTTTTAAATGCAGCTGAAGTGTTTATATGAACACTAGTCCACAGACCGAACTATTTAGAAATGGTATGTCCCTCATAGAATGTGCGAATCGTGAATTATTTGGACTAAGTTTCTTGATAACTAGTTATTGAATTGCGGTATACTTACTTGCACCAAGACGAAGAAACGTTTCTTCCATTTCTTCCACACAGTTTTACCCATCGAGAGAAGAAAGCTTTTTTATACATACGAAAAAGAAAAATATCTTGTGAGATGCATGATTGTGAAATCTACGCTAAAACTGTAAATTGAAATCAATCACCAGTGATGTGGTTTTGTTTTCAATTAAAAGAAACATTTTTGATTGGCTACCTGCTGATTTTTACATCACTCCTACTGGCATTTGCCCATTTGCAAAGCAGCCAGTTTTAGTGGTTGTCTAGCTAGCTAACATAGGCGTGGTAGGAAATTAGCAAACTTTGTCCCTAGTCTATCAAGTCTCTATTTAATCAATTCAATGTTTTTTTTTCAAATTTTTTACACACACAGTAAGCGGAAGTCAAAAATCCATCCAACTCAACAAAACATAATTCAACAAAACATACACCAGGCTGTATACAATTCTAACTTAGTTAGAAACAGGATAGAAGAATATATGAGAAAAGAAAAGTGGATCACCTACCCACAGTATTTCATATTCTGAGGCTTGTCCATTCGTATTGCAATTTTAATTTTAATATTTTCCGTCACATGTTTTGTAGTGTGCATTTTGTACCATTCCGGCGTTTTGGGACTATTTGGTGTCGGCCTGATCACTACTTTTCCAAGCAACGTATCGTCTATACTGAGAACGCCTGTACTTTCTGTGTAAAGCTTCACCTTGACCACCGGTAGTGGATGTGTTGTGGTAAAGTCTCCCTGCGTGTCCCAGCTACAAAAAAAAACAAAAAAAACGGATTATATACTTTTAAAATAATGATGACTAATGATTGGGTGAATGCTACGGTGGCATCAGTTTCTTAATCTGGAAAAATATCATGATCAGCGAGGAAAATATTTTTTTCCTTCCCAGATTAAAGAAATCTCCTTGAATGACATTTTATTACTAAACAAATACATATCCATGATAATATTTGAAGAAAGAGTACAGAATCATGGAAAAACGGAAATCAAGGAACATGTGTATGGCTAGACAAGGGCATATACTAGAATATTGAATTTATTTGATTCATTTTTTTTTAACATACTAATTAGTAGTATAAATAGAGAAACATTCACTAAATTTAATTTCAGCAGATTTTATGCATAGATATTTTAATACTTAATTTAATTTTACTAGTTTGTGGTGAGAACAACACATTGCACAGTTAACTCCACATATTCACTGTATTTTCATTTAGAGTATTTAGATTTCAGTGAAATAGAACAAAACTCTATATCATCAATACAAACAGTACACATGACTCAGTAAACGGTTCTAATCCCACTATATGTATAGCGCCACCAAGTGGTGAATATTAGATTTCTGCTGTTTTAATTAATCTTGATGTTTGTTAGAGTGCAATTTACTATCCCTATAATTTGTGTATCATTTGAACATCAATGCAACGCAATAGTGAGAAAATTTGTCAGTCAGTTATCAATGTTACTTTCAGACAAACAAACGGAGCTTGCTTTTAAAAATTGGAACACCACTATAGTAAGTTCTTCCCATCTGAGAGTCGGGAAGTCGTGGAGGATACAATTATTTTGAGCTGTAAACCACTCCAGATTTTTGAAAATCGTTTATAACAAACAATGTGCTATATTTGTGTTTTTGTTGTGCAATAAAAAAAAAACAGTTGTTCCACACAAATGGAAGATGTTCCCTTGTCTTAATTTTTGCTATTACAATTTTATACTGAAATTTCTACAAACTGTTTCCCCCATTTATAATGTACACGCAAGTCCAATGAATTATTCTAAACACATTTCAGTGGGGAAGTTTTATAGTCAAGGTGGGTAACACCTTGGAGTAAACAACTTTGAAAAGAACAAATACATACTAATTTCACTGTTTTTTCACTGTCTCAAGGGATAATCATTCTATGAAAGACATATTGGAAATAATTTTTATCGCAAAATAAACTGGCTGGTATAAAATTACATTTTATCAGTACTGGATGCTTGTCTGAAAGCAACACTACTAAGTGACTGGCAAATTCGCCCACTAACACTCTGCATTGGTATTTGAACACTACGTGTGAAGGGAGTAAAAGTTTCTCTTTACATTCATCAAATAGCTACTCAAATTTGAATTCATCAAAAGCAGGCTGTTTTAAAAATAATGAGCAAGTAAGAAAACAGATTAAAAAAGTCATTTTCTAATCAAAGAAAGCTTAGGAAAGAACTCCCATGGGCTCAGGGTATTGGAAGCATGAAATAAACACAGGAAATACTTAAATATTAATTATAAATTAAAGACTATCTTATTAAAGCATGAAGGCTGTTGGCTAATATAGATAAGTTCTTTGAGATGAACAATATTAAAGTTATTCTGATCCATATGAATGAAGTGAATAACACCAACAGAAAATAAAATAAAAATGTGTTAACAAAAAAAAAAAAAAAAAAAATTTATTATATATTTAGATGGTTTGTGGTCTGTGGAGCATACCAGACTATCCATGTACTAAAGTTTAATTTAAATATATTAAGCGGATCTTTAGATATCAGCGGAAAATCATAAATATTGGCATTTGGGGCTCAAGTCAATCATGGCAAATATTTTAAGGAGGAAACTGTACTTGTTGAAACTGCATCATTGTATTATTTATTGACATACTAAACCTGTTTTTTTCGTTTTGTTACCAATAACGATTGTTATCCATGAAAGCAGTCTTACACGCAAAGTTTCCCATAGAAAGAGAGGGAAAGGTTTTTTGTATCAAGTTCTAATTAAGCATTTCAAGATTTGCAGCCCCCAGGTTCAGCGATAAGTGAAATACCATCAATCTCAATTTTCTGAAAGTAAAGAAAAATGCTCAGCACATGTAGCATGTTTCCTGCCTTCACTTCAACAGGATACCCAGGTGTACTCACAAAAGAAGTGTTGCGAAGCTCTAAACAGACTTTTCGTTTCTCATAACCAATTGAAAAAAAAAAAAAAATTCCCTCAAGTGAGTCTCAGGCTTGAATGACTAAAAAAGAAATCACCTCGAGGTATCGGGGATTGACAAGAAAATAATCTCCCGCGTAAAATATTATCTACAAGAAATCAGTTCAGTTGGAGGAGACTAGAATTTCATCATGTGCTCGGTAAGTGGCTTTGATGCAAGAAAAAAAAACAATCATTCTCTGCAAGAAAGATAAGTAGAGCGACTTTCATCTAAAATATACTTTTAAATATTATTATAAACATCTTTTTATTGAAACGAATGTTTCTAGTGTAATGAATTTCTTTTCAGAATGTAGATTTCCATCAGAACAGATGTTTTGGTACGGCATGTTGCGTCTTTTGATTACATCATCTTTCATTCATCAGTGACGCTGGTTGATTGCGCACAGAGTGTTTGCGAGTCTGCAGGTGTCTGCAGATGCTACGAATTGAATCTCCTTTTATATGTCGTATAATTCACTGAAGGAATGTGGAATTTATTTGATGTTGTAAAGTTTTATTGAAAGCTTGCAGACTGGCTGAACGTTATGAATTTGAGCGTTTTACGGAACCATACTTTATAAGGACTCAGGGGATCGATGTTTGATGCGTGCCAAATTTACACACAGTTATCAATTATCGATGGTAAGCCCCAAAACTGACACAAAAACAAGAATACATTGTCTGCTGACAGGTGTTCTTGACTTTGGTATGTCCATGGAGGCTTTCAGCAGGCAATGTGTCAAGTTCAACCAACAGTATTCGACCTATTAAAGGTGAAAATGTTACAAAAATGCTGAAAAACCGTGAGTTTTTGCCTTAGTTATTTTTTTATTGGCGAAAAACTGCGAACTCGGCAAATTTGGTTGCACAACTTCCCTTTATCATATACACCCAGAGACACCGATGCCAGCTGACTGTGGCTAAATAGTGCTGTGATGGCAATGTACTGTAATTGAATCAAACAATGGCCACCAGTCGTCCATTTTTTTGTTCGAATCCCGAAAAAAACACAATGGGCGCCTTTAACCCAATATGCATGATCCTGATACCATGATGAAGTATCAGAATTCAGCAATGCAATTTTAAGGATCAAAATGGCCGCCAGGCAGCCACAATTAATCAAATGGTAATGAAAATTGATGTGCGTATGTAAGGCATCATACATAGTCTGCGTGTTATTGTTTCAATGTTGCGCTAAAAGCATGACTGATAAATGGCTATGGGAGCAAAATTAGGTCAACTGTCAGAAAAAATGCAAAAATGCACATTTTTGGAAATGATTTTTTTCACTACATCATTCAAAAATTGGACTTTTCATGAATAGTTGACTAATTTATTGTGCAAAAAGTAGTTCAGTGACAGCATAAAATAAAACCAAACGGTAAAAGAAATCAGATGATCTCATTTTATTTATATTGATTGTGAAAATAACATGAAGAATAAATGGACAGGTTTTATTACCCACCATTTCACTGCATCACTGCGTTAATTACGCCATCAATTTTATGCATCAATCAATCATCTTACCCATAATGCACTTGTTTTGTTATACCAGATAACGGTTTCTGGCAATGAATATCACTGTTGTCTACCGTGTCTTTTTTTATACATGTATATGTAAATTGAAAGCCCAGACGGTACAATTAGTGGACTTTTGACACAAAAGCCATTTGACTATTTTTTCTATTTTCATTGAATCACGACAATTGCAATTATTCTGAGAATTATTCTGGAAGTAACCAAGATGGCTCGCAACTTTTTGTCGGCACTCAGGCATTTACTTTGTACCCGAGTTGACAGTGTCACTTGACAGATGGCGTGCTATGTATGATTTACTATTTCATAGGGAAATGAACATAATGATTTGCAATCTTTGCGTATGTATTTAAAAAATAATCATTTCTTGTTTTAATATCTACATTGTATGTAATTCAGGAAATATTAAAACACTTCAAAATAACCTGTTCATATATTCTAATGAACACTTTTCATTTTGAAAAAAAATGCACTTTACCCTCATCTAGTGTGATAATGGAATGATTCAAACAGTGTCAATGACTAATGACTGTTCACATAATTCTTAGGATCGCTGTAATGTACTACCCCAGTATTCATCCCACGGCTGCCAGCAATGCTGGGAATGGCAATAAAGTTTAATATTGTAGATTCCAATTAAACAAAGTCACTTTCTGTCACTAAAAATGCAGTATACTCTTACCCCTCACATTACTATACACAAAATATTCCCGCGCCCAAAGACCCTCCAAACGGCAGCGTTCCCCCAACAGAACAAATAGAATAGATAGTTTTTTTATGTTTCAAAAAAGTAAAAAAAAATGACACCTTATTTTTCGTTTATGCTTTGACATGAAACGTATTCTGGGGAAAAATGAATTCAAAAAAGTTTATGAAATTTTTAAGGCGGAAATAAAGAAAAAGAGATCAATAGTTGCCGGCAATATTGATAATGATGCAACGTTGCGGAGTGAATAGAAAAATTGTCTATATTGCATGAATTCCAGTCTCCCTGTATGAAATGAATGACATACACCATGACATCGCGTCAATGATGATTTGTCAGATGCAATTTAATCACGCAATGGACAAGGATTGGATCTTGTCCCTTTCATGACATTCCAATTACACTTCATCTGACAACATCAGTCCCATTAGCAGCAGCTTTTTAATTAATAAACAACATCTTGGGTAATTTCATCTCAAATGTAAACACGTCAACATCGTAATTCATTCCATAATAATAAAGAATTCTAATCATATTCATTTATTTCATT